AAAGCCCCAGAGTCTGCATATGCTCAAGGGTTTGCTTTAGCCTTTATCTGAACCACAGCTATTAACTTTGCTACAGGAAACAGAGACTCAAGGCTTTTGTTCTAACTGTTTGAGGTAGCTGAATGTAGAGCCTTGGAGGAGTGGAATTAAGCTAAGGATGTCCAGATAGGTCACACAACCTCAGGAAAAGAAAAACACAGGTCAGGTGTGCAGGGAAGCACAGCACCAGTGGTGCATGTTCACAGCTAGACCTTGAGTCTGGCGAGAGCAGCAAAGTAGAACCCAGCTGGGCCTCTGTCTTAAGATCATCATGATGGTCCAGAGCTCTCAGAGCTGAGAAAAGGTCACCCTGCAGCTCAGCCATCTATGGATTTGTGTAGAGGCAGGTCTGCAAGAGGCTATTCTGCTGCTGTGACCCCTCTGGATGGGATTCAGGGACTCCTGAGCTTCCTCTGCTTCCAGCACTGTATTGATTTTAATAGCAACAACCTAGAGGGGAGCAGAACAGACTGTGCTTCGTAGATGGAACTGAGATGTTTTAAAAGTTTTCAAACAAGTTGGCTGTTTTCCTGGACTCTTAAATTAAAGGGCAATTAAATCACTTTCAGTCTCAAAAGAGCTGATGGGTGTTTCCTGGTTTGACTCCTTCAAATTTTGCCAGAGTGATTAAAGCAATGAAAAACTGTTAACTCCCAAGTCAGGGTTGTCAGCCAACACTCAAAAGCATTTGTCTAAAGCACATGCTCAGACTCTCTTGGCCTGTGGACAGGAGGAAATGGGATAAATTAAGGTGCAGGAAAGCTTACCTGGGCATAAAGGACACTGACACAGCAACCCCTGTACCCTTGTACTGAAAACTACCATGGGAGGAGGAGCAAAACTGCTGGTGCTACAAACGGTGTGGAAAGTTGACTTTTCCCCCCATGGGGGGAGACAAGCCTGGCTAAACATCAGCCCCAGCTTGTGGCTGCTTGTCAGTGTTGGTTTTGCTAGTTATGTGCAATTAGTATTTGTGCAACAGGTGCACTGGTCCCAGCATGAGCAGAACAAATGTGAACCCTCCCCTGGTACAGCTCCAGTGCTGCTGCTGCCCTTCCAGTCCAGCCCTCCCTTCCTGCTGGGGTTCCACAAAATCCTGGTAATGTTGCTGAGAATATGCAATAGCTCCAGGCTTTCCCAGTTACTAGGAATGCCCGTGGTCTCTCTCCCTTTGATTTCCACGCTCCTTCTTAACACTTAAAAGCTCCAATCTATTTTGTTTCTTCCAGGACTGCTAACCAAAGCTGACTCCTGAATGAGTCCTGTCTCTGCTGCAGTTAGTCATCCCTTCAGGACAGATTTAGTAACTGCTCAGGGAAACCACGGAGCAGTCAACAGTTCACCGTTGGAAGGCAGCACCCACTCACTGTCAGCTTCATCATTTTCCAAGCTAGAAAGCTAGAAGTGCAGCAAGTCAGCCAGAAATAGGTGAGCAAGCCTCTATAGCCTCACCTGCTGCGGAGGAAGGTGGATAAACAGATACAAACCTAATCCCAAACCTGACTGCAGGCTCGGGAAAGTTGCTGCAGTGCCAAATAGCAGAGCAAAGTATCCAGAGCGAGTTCCCCATCCCCATCTGTTGGAGCGCCCCTTGGGGCAAGCAAACCTCCTGCAGGACTGCAGCTCCAGGGAGGAGCTGCCAACTCACCTCGCTGGGGCAAACAGCCCGAAATCTTCTGAACTGTCACAGAGCTGGCAGCACGTGGACCTGCCCCTGAACCAAAGCAACCCCCTCCCCGAGCTGCAGATCGAGCAATCTAAAAGAATTGCCTGTTCAAAACTACACTTCTGCTGTTAAAGCTCCTCCAGAGCTCCTCCTCGTGTGCTCCTCCAGAATCCTGCACAACACTGGCTGACTAGAGGCACCTTGTGTTCAAACTCGCCCTCAGAAGCAATAACACACCAGAGTATTTGGGGACATCAATGAGAGCCACCACACTGATGCTTTCAGGTAAGGACAGTTTATTTGCCCCTTTGAACAAATAAGGCAAGATATTTGTGGAAGATCAAACAAAATCTTCTGTATCAAACTCAGAGGAATGCAATAAAAGTTACTATTTCATACATATACAAACTAATGACCCAACACTATTATATACAAACAGCCAGATCTTACAAAATAGCATTTCAAGTTAGCACTTTATGCCAGTGTTGCTAATTTCTTCGTTACAAAAGAAGTTAAAGCTACAAACTTCACATTTTTAAGTCTCACATGACTGGCACCATCAGTATCTCTGGGTTTCAGAAGCAAAGATAATGGTTTGTCCAGAACACTTTCAGCAGTGCAGAGGAGCACATGAATGCAGTTTCACAATTAATCAACCATTTTGCATACAAACTTTGTCAGAACAGCTTTCCCTTAGGTTATGAGCCTCAGTCTTTGCCTTGAGGAGTCTAGGAAGGTATTATGTTCCCAGACACTCTATGAAGGGGCTAGAAAGAGAATTATTTTCTCTAACAGATTGAAAATCAGTGAAGGAGAAAATAATTCCTCTGCATTAGAGCTCCAAGTGCAAGACACATCCCCGTGTCTCAGCAACTGCAAGCATTTAAGAAAGGTTCAAAGACAGTTAAACCATTGGACCAGTTTTACTTCTTTTGGTTCATTTGCTGTATTTTAAGACAATCACATCAGCAAAGCAGATTATTTTGAGTGCTTACATTCAGTTACAGCAGTCACAGGTTGCATATTCTGTAAATAGACACCACCCTGTGGTGTTTCACCTCATACTTGGGTTTTCTAATGCCCTCCAAATCACTAGAAAGTCACCTACACAGTGCAGAGGTAAAACTACTCCCAGCAGAATCTGCTTGACCCACACCACAGGCAGGCAGTGCACCATTCACCACGTCCATGTCAATCCCAGCAGGTGTGTTGGGCCAGACCCATCCAAGTGACTAACACAAGATCTAACACTTGACCAGAGAATTCCCTCCTAAGTTGTGGGAGCGTCTCTGATGCAACGGGTGCTCACAAATACTGCTCATAAAAAACAGGTTTAGGGGGCCAAACATATAGCACAGACTTCAGCCAAGCACTGTGTGAGCCCTGATGTTCACTAAGGGCTTTTAGTCCATTAACAACAACAAAACTTAATTACCTGGCTTTCCCAATTCAAAACTTTCCCAATACTTGAGGCTATCAAACAGTTGGTTATCCCTGGATATCCTGTTATGTCAGTCCCCCTAGGTACCTGCCTTGCTGCCTTCCTTTTCCCACAGAACAGCTGGATTGCTGCTCTCTGGAACTGCTGTGCTGGCACTGCCTGTCACAGTGGGACAAACTGATGCAACCAGATCCACAGAGGAGGTAAAAATGGCTTGGTTCCTTTCACAGCAATGGAGCCAAGAAGCTGCTCCAAGGGGAAAAAAAAGAGCCCACAGAGGTGTGAAGTGAGCACCTCTCTAGCAGCATTTCCTCCAGGAGACACTCCTATGCAGCCTAATTATCTAGGTGATGGACCAAGGCCTCAGGAGGACATGGAGACTGGTCCCTCTAGCAGAGCAAAATAAAAATAAAATGGTGAATACTTGCTCTGTCCCAAGATTTCATCATCCACTAGATACACCTGAAACTACCTGCCTGGGGGCCATGTGACAGGCCATGAGCAGAGGCATCACTTGGTCCCTGCCCTGCAACTGGGCTCTCTGCTGCTTTTGTTTTACTTCCCACTCTACTGGTGTGAGTTAATTGCACCATCCTCACAGCGATTGTACACGCCGGGGCATTTTCACTGATTGAGCTCTACTGGGCAGGAATGGCAGGGAAATACAAGGAAGACAAGAGCATCCAGAGGAACTGGAAGAGACTGAATCTCTTCTAGTAGAACATTAGTAACTGTCTTCTCATCCAGATCAACTCTGCCTTTGCACCACCACCCTAAATGCACATCTTTGTTAGTTTGACAAAGTTTTTAGTTTCAGTTCAACTTTTCTGACGTGCTAAACCTTGCAGAAATGTGAAGGATTGTGAAATTAAGTTTCTATTCAAGCACCTAAAGATGTAAATCTGAAATGAAGCCTATAAAACATTTCACAAACTGTGGAGATTTTTAACTCCCCTCAGACACAGCAGAAGTACCTAATTCCTGAGAGAGGTTCACACAACTTCCACCCATTCAAATACTGTTTCCTTTTCCCAACACTCCACCATCAGGGTCTTCCTGAAGGACATTTCCAAACAGACAGATGAAGGGGAATCAGATCACTGATTAGCTTTTTGGTTTTAAGTCAGTGTGGATTTTAAATTGCAGGATGTAATTTCCAAGGGAGGCAAAACATGCTTTAACTACTCATGTTCATTCATAAAGTACACAAAAAAAGAGGACAAAACTGAGGTCTTGAAGTAACCACACTTGCTCAGAGCACACAGTGTAAGGCATGGGGCTTATTACAGGCTTTTTTAAAAATTGAGATTTAAGTTCCTTTCAAAAGGCTGGAACAGTTTGCAACATGTTCTCACCTGATCTCTTCAGTGACCCAAAACTTACCAGTACCTTAACAGTAGGAAGATACAACAAACAGCTTGAAATTGAGTCTGTGCATCCACAAAGAAAAACAAAAACAAAACACAACAGAGGCAGCTGTTAAATACCACAATCCATATTAACTTAAACCAAAATGGACTACTGAGAGTTCAGTTGAAAAGAGAATGAGCCAACTTCCATGAGCCTATTTCTATCTGTTCCTCTGATTTAAAAACAGTCCCACTAAAAAAAAAACAAAAAACAAAACAGTAACAAAACTCCTGCAGGGATAATGTTTTAAATACATGTCTAACATTAAAACATACCATCAGGATTTTCCATTCCTGAGTTCAGAAAGGTGCTATGGAAAAAAATAAATGAGCAGAAGTATTGCCCTCTATTTCACTAGCATATGTGAATAGAAATCAATCTGTTTAGTAGTCATCAAAGCAAGGAGCTGATTGTTTGAGGATGGGAGAATATTCTACCAGTGGCTCAGAAGTTCTGCTGCCGCCGCTTCTTGGCTTCAATGGCATCGAGGATGGGCTGGCGCTTGGACTGGTACTTCTGGCGGATTTCTTCAATCTCCTGCTCCATCATGGGGTCCAGGGCTGAGAGCCTCCTCTGGAGTTCATCCACACTCCATGTCTTTAGCTAGAAGGGGACAAGAGAAGAACAGACATGGCCATCAGTACAGGCCACCATCCGCACAGCTACAGCGATTTTGCTGCCCATCTGATGGTCACAACATCTCCTGATCTGATGGTCTCCTCCTTCCAGGAGGAGAAGGTGGGAGAGTTCTGCTCCAGGCTACTACTCTCCACAAGGCTGCCATGAGCCTCAGGATACTGGGCTGCTTTGGCTCATTTTACAGACATATTACGTGCTCTGTTCAGTGACAGGGGAAGTGTATAAAACAACCAGCAAGATGTTCCCTTCATCAGGCTGTTTTACTAACGCTTCATTTTGCAGGCTCAGGACTGTATTGAGATGGAACAGAAGGGAAGTTCTCTCCCCTACCCTTCCCTTGCAACTAAACTTCCTTCTGCTAAGTGGCAAAGGGAGACAGAGGGAATAGGAAAGGAAAAAAAAACTACAAACTGACAAAGTTTCATTTGAAAATTAAAAAAAACCCAAACATTGATGTACAATCAGGCTGAGCCTCAATCGTGGTGAGGAGTTCACACTCCTCCAGGTTAGCAATCCCAGGACACACACAGCAGGTCACTTTGGGTCAGCCTCACACTGATATAATGTACAAGGACAATTTGTATTTTACTGTACACGTGAAGATGTCAGGCTAGTCTGAACAAGCTTCCCTTCACTGAATTCCTGACCTGCCTGCCCTTTGTTTAATTGGTTCTCTTGTGCATGCCAATTTGCTGAGAACTGGCACAGGGAAGTTTTACCCTGTGATTACAGATGCTAAGAGATGAGTCTAGATGGTCACAGCTACACCCTTTGCATAATATTATAACCTGTAGAAGAGGCAGCATTTTAAGATTATGGTAAAAAAATACAGGCAATGGAAGTGCTTCAAATGTTCAACTAAACACCAACCCTTTTCCCATCCAACACCAAGTGACCTGCAGAAACACATGGGATCGTTTCACAGCCCCAGCAGCAGGATGGGAATGACTATTTGCACCATCTGCTTCCAGGGACTGGCTGCTGTGGAAACTAAGAACAGGCTAAATCATTTGGGCTGGGTTTTTTTTTTTTCCTTTTCATGAACAAAGAATTGTCCCTTTTTAGGCTTTCAACAAATGTCATAATTGACATTAAGTGCAAGTAATGCTGCTGTCCTGGTTTAGCTGTTAATTAGGCGGCTGTTAATTAGGCTGTTATTCTTGAAGGCATTTCTGAACCACAACGCACAGTGAAACGTTGCCTGTTAGAAGGCAACAACTGAATTGCTGGCTGTGTCATGGCTGTTGAAAAGTTTGCATCAGTCCTTAAACTTATGTAAATACTAAAATAAGGAAAACCTGATCTTTCTTCCCAAGGTGGAAGAGACACCAGTCCCCAAACCACAAAGTCATCTGTTAGCTGATTTCTCACAAGGCCTTTTGAAATTCTTTGCTGTATTCTACAGAAGAAGATCTTTCCTACTTGCAGTTCTAGGATCAGCAATCTACTTTAATAATCTTGGCACAAGTGAAAAAAACCCTTTTTAGCAAGGAAAGTTACAGAGTCTTTTGGGTCTCTCCAATCAGCCAACTGTTCATTAGAAAGACAAAGCACTTCCTCCAATAAGATATACATTATTTATACACATTAATGCAACTTCACCAGACAGCAGTTTAAGTTGATGCATGGCACCAGTTGCCTTTTCACACTAATTTATTATGGAGCAGGTAATTATTCAACATCCCCCTTCCTCACAGTCCAGGGAATTGAACAGTCTAATAAAAATGCAAAAAAGAGGAAAATATTAATTCAGATACATACACTAAGCAGCTATATTGGATTAAATGGCTGTGTCAGCTCTAAGACTACCCAGCACTAGAATACTAAAATAGAGTTTTGAAACAGATCTAAACTACCTTGCTCATGGCTTAAGCCAACTTTTAGGTGTCAGAAATCATCCTGAACCTGCAGCCTTCCATGGACACCTTTTGAGCATCCTGTGCCATCCTTCCAAAGCACTGGGTGCTGTGTACAGCCAGAGACAAACCAGTGGAGTCAGCAGACCAGAGGGCAGAGCACATTTAGAGCACTGGTCTCTCCACACCCCAAGAACGTGGCTCTCTCCTATTCATGTCCTCTAACATGATCTGGCATGTTGGGACATCATCTGTGGACACAGACACGAAGTCTTTCTGGTAATTGTAAGCAACTGCCTGCCAAGGGACACAGTGGGTTTTGACAGTTCCTGGGCCTGTGTTTGTCAGGACAGATGGGTAATGGTATGGAGGATGCTGAGAGCACAGCTAAGCCTGGAGTGGGCAAGGATACATATGCACAGACATATATTCACATGAGTAAACTGGGAAGTGGGTTACCTGCACAGACATGTGATGCAGAACAAAGCAGCTACTTATGGAGCCTGATCATGGGTTAAACAGAGAGGGGATAGTGAGAGAAGGAAGAGAGGGAAGTCGATGCAGGTCAAAATCCAAGAGCATAAACACATCCTGTGTGCAGTGCTGTGTGTTGATGTGGATGGGCTAATTACCAAGTCTTCATCTGGAGTGACATCAGCCTGGCTGTGAATGCCATGCCATTACTAAAAGAGGCAGAGAAGCCAAAGGGTAACACTACGAAAAGGTCCAGAATGTGACTGCTCCCCACAAATGAGCTGACGAGAGACTGACAGGACTCCAATTACTGGTGAGAACCAAGAGCCCATGCAGGAGCAGAGGACACCGAGCCCTGAGCTCCCACTTTGCTTCAGACCTGCCACAACATGAGCCCTGGGACCTGTGCTGAGCTGTTATACTCAGCTCCTCCTTCCGCTTGCACATGCCTCTTTGAAGGAAATAAAAGAGAACTGTTTAGTAGCTCATGGCCTCCGTCTCACCTGGCTGTGTGGTAGGTCACTGGAAGCCAATGCCACTGACAGACTTGCTCCCAGAAATAAAGTTTTTAAATTAGCATATCTGTCTCTGCAGTGGTAGGCTTCTGAAACACCAACATTATTCTCTTTGAGAAATGCCAGAAGCAAATTAAGGGAAGGGGGACAAGGACAGAGCATCTCATGACAGTTGGTTACTCAGGATAAAGCCTCAGCACTGAACAGCTGCAGTTAGAGTTGGTTGTAGCCAAGGGCTCAGTCCCATCCCTCTCCTCAATTCTCCTCAGCAATGCTTCTGTTATAAGAAGTTGTGTCTTTGTAAAAGCTGTCTGGTTTTGTCCACAGAGATCAGCTAGCCAAGACAAACCCTTAAGGGAAGCAATCCTATTTCAAATGTACTAACATAAAATACTTGTCCAAAAGCTGGTCAAACATCTATCAACAGGGAGTGGCAACAGCACAACCAAACTGTTCAAGCAAGGCTGTATATGCAGAACACTGATTTTTAACCATTTGATTAACAGCTGTATTTTTACTCAAGGGTTTGAGAACTATCTTAACTTATGTACAAGTGCCCAACTGAAGACAAATGTCAGAGGTTTAAGTCTTCACCTGAAAATCTCTTGCCCAGGGCTGCTTATGCTGTCCGTTGATCCTCTGGCTGCAGACACCACTGATAGCAACAGCTTGTTCTACTAGGCTGGTGGGTTCTACTATCTCATTCAGAAGGACACAGAATCATAGAATGGTTTGGGTTGGAAAGGACCTCCAAGATCACCCAGTCCCACCCCCCTGCATGGGCAGGGACACCTCCCACCAGACCAGGTTGCTCCAAGCCCCATCCAACCTGCCCTTCAACACTTCTACAGATGGGCAACTACAGCTTCTCTGGGCAACCTGGGCCAGTGTCTCCCCAGCCTCATAGTGATAATTTCTTCCTGATATCCACCTACGTCCTTCAGAAGGACATAAACTATGGCCTTTCCATGCATAAGCATTAATGATGGGCAAAGCAGGAACAGATAGTTTCATACAGAGTTTCTTCCTCAAGGAGAAGATGTGCAAGCTCCTCATCACATCCCTTTGCCAGCACTTCAGACAGACTCTTGGATAACTACTCCACTAAACAACACTCACCTCAGCAAACTGCTTCAGAGTTACTGTCCTTTCAAATCAGCATTTTAAAAATAGGGGGGAAAAATATCACTTGCATTTATTACAGCCAGGGCAAGTGTTACTGCAACATGATATTCTACAGAATGTCAATGAATCTAAGCAGCAAAAGGAGAAAAAGTAAAAGCTCTCTGCAGACACCTTAGACATAGCCACAGGTTTGATATTCAAGGGCACACCATGGTCTGAAATGTGTACCTATGCAGCTCTGTCCTGAGCAAGAGGCTGCCTAAAAACCTGCCATGGTGTTTTTAAACAGACCACACCAGATTTCTGCTTCACACCAGATCTGTAAAAGTCAAAGCCTAGAAAATTAGCTCAGCCCTCTTCCTGTCCCCAAGAAAACCAAACAAAAAGCCCAAAGAGGGAGTAAATTCTGAATTAGAAGCCCATGCAGTTCTCTTGGTATCCATAGTCCTTACACTGAAGCCTGTTTTTCCTACAGCAGGGTCTGTAACCTGACCAGTCAGGACCTAGAATACTCCTCTGGTCCCTCAAGGCCCCTTCAGCAGCACAAGGTCACCACTGACTCAGACCACTCTGCACTACTGACAAACATGAGGTCATTCAGGAATCCCTGAGTCACTTCAGCTCTCACGTTTATTTGCTTCTCTACCAAAACCACTACAAGCAAAATCCCCTTGCTGCTTGAATGATAAGCATCAAGCAGAAACGAGCTGTTTCCCAGCAGCTTTCACACATTTACCCCTCAACAAAGACTTTCAGCACAACAGTAACTCACCAGCTGCACAGGAATAAAACAAAATACTTCTTTGGAAAACATGTTCCTCTTGCAACTTTCTTTTTACTTGCTGACACTGAATCTGCTCCCTGTTTAGCACAAGTCTTTTCTTTGCATCTTTGCAATGTTTCAGACTATCTGGCCTTTGTTTTTCAATGCTGCCTTAGAAGTCCTGAAAGCTTGTATGAAACATGAACCCTTCATCTCCAGGGAGGGGATGCA